AGGCCATAGAAGGCCGAGCAGTTGAGGCCGAATGGCCAAATACTTGTGAGGCCAAATAGCCGAATACCTGTGAGGCCGAATGACTAAATACCTGTGAGACCGAATGGCCAAATACTTGTGAGGCTGATTGGCTGAATACCTATGAGTAAGCGTTCATCGAGGGACTGCCTTTACCGCTTGAATGATAGTCCACGGGGGATTGTCTTCACCGCTCGGGTGATAGTCCATGGGGGACTATCTTTACCACTCGGTTTTAAACCTAGGAGTTTGTTGTGGAACTTCCTAGAACGAGAGTGATAGTCCATGGGGGACTGTCTTCACTGCTCGAATGGTAGTCCAGGGAGGACTATCTTTACCGCTCGGGTGATCGTCCATGGGGGANTCTGCAACTTCAACCTTATTTGTCTTTCTCTCTCTCTATTTTTCTAAATGACTTTCTGTTTACCTTTTTCTAACAATTTATTCTTATTAATTTCGGGATTTTTTTTACGCCAAGTGAACTGCAAACGTGTTCAACAATCGTGTAGTTCTGACACTCATGATAAATTCATATAATATTCTTTCTCTGAATAACAACTTTTTGAAATTTTCCTTTTTCAATGACAAGATAAAAGCTAACATTAAGGAATAAAATAGAAAATAAATTAAGGAATGTTTTGTTTGGTTTACAATGCAGTTTGATTATCGAATTCCAACTGGATACGATAATTGTGGTGTGGGGGCCGAGAGTCCGTTGCACATGAATGGAATGCCAATAAGCGTGTACGTGTCGGAGTTAGTGAGTGTGTGGTGGTGGACAAGGAGGGGAGGTGTGCAGCTGCGACTTCGACAGGGTTTGATGAGCAAGAAGAGTGAAAGATAGAGGAAGAGAAGCTCAGCGTGAAGATGCAATAAAGGAGACGAGAGAGAGAGAGAAAAGCTGAGAAATTTAACATCATTGATTTTGGAGGACAAAAAATTATAGTTTTCTTGAGGAGAATAATCAAAGTTTGAAAGAAGGATGAAAAATAAAATCATTTGATAATTGAAGAACTAAAAACATATTTAATCCTTTTATTATTTGCAAATTTAAGTTTTTTAAAGTATATTTTCCTTCAAACATTTTAACATCTACATATTTATTATCAATATGAAAAATAAAAAGACACATTGTTACCAATTTTTTAAAATTATTTTGACTTTTGTGTTTCTATTTTTCTACAACGTGTTAAGTTAAAAAGAATAATAATAAAATATGAAAGAAAAATTGAAAGTCAAATTTAAAAAATAAGAGTAAAATAATTGAATAGTAAAGTATACCATTTGTTTCGGTATGGATTTGTAGGACCGAGAGATTAACCTTTCTGACGTGGCTTTGCTGCTTTCAAGCGCTAGAATCGCGTGTTTTACTTGCTCGACTTCAGTCTGGACCGCTCGGTTGTCTTCAATTTGGACCGCAGGGGGAGGTACCTGCAAGAGACAATCTGACGCTCAAGTTAGGCGTGTGATTTGAAGAACTTCTACTCACTATTGAATATTCAGTGAATTGTTATCACTATTGAGTATTTGGACGTAGTGGAGTGTGGGTACAACGTAAGTAGAATGTAAGTGGAACGTACCTGACTTTTGGCCCTGTCATTATATTTATAAATGTTTCATAGATCAAATAAAAGCAAACTTACCTGGAAATTCGGTTAGTTACTCATAAACGGCTTATCAATATCTCTAATGAGATATCTTTGATTATTTTATCGTCTAATGGACTGTTGACCCAATAATAACTTGAAAGTTGGCCCAATTAGGACCCAAAATTGTTGGTGTGGTGGATGGACCAAACGGCCCTGAGTGGATGGACCGAACGGTCCATACTATATACCATACATATGCCCCCAAGTCCGAGTTAACTGTTTGGCTTTGGCCAAGGTTATGTATAGGACTTATATGAGCTTGGGAGAGGCCGGAAGGTTTGTGTGTAGTATGTTGTCATATGTATTGAAAACAATTCGAATCCGCATGTGGTTAGAAATATGAGGTCAATCAAATTAACATTAAATAATTTGGGTTATGAAGCCGGATGGCCGAATGTTTGAACACTTAAGGCCATAGAAGGCCGAGCAGTTGAGGCCGAATGGCCAAATACTTGTGAGGCCAAATAGCCGAATACCTGTGAGGCCGAATGACTAAATACCTGTGAGACCGAATGGCCAAATACTTGTGAGGCTGATTGGCTGAATACCTATGAGTAAGCGTTCATCGAGGGACTGCCTTTACCGCTTGAATGATAGTCCACGGGGGATTGTCTTCACCGCTCGGGTGATAGTCCATGGGGGACTATCTTTACCACTCGGTTTTAAACCTAGGAGTTTGTTGTGGAACTTCCTAGAACGAGAGTGATAGTCCATGGGGGACTGTCTTCACTGCTCGAATGGTAGTCCAGGGAGGACTATCTTTACCGCTCGGGTGATCGTCCATGGGGGATTGTCTTTACCACTGGTTTTGAACCTAGGAGTTCGTTGTGGAACTTCCTAGAACAAAAGTGATAGTCAATGGAGGACTGTCTTTACCGCTCGGATGATAGTCCATGGGGGACTGTCTTCACCGCTCGGTTTTAAACCTAGGAGTTCGTTGTGGAACTTCCTAGAACGAGAGTGATAGTCCATGGGGGACTGTCTTCACTGCTCGGATGGTAGTCCAGGGAGGACTATCTTTACCGCTCGGGTGATCGTCCATGGGGGACTGTCTTTACTGCTGGTTTTGAACCTAGGAGTTCGTTGTGGAACTTCCTAGAACGAAAGTGATAGTCAAAGGAGGACTGTCTTTACCGCTCGGATGATAGTTCATGGGGGACTGTCTTCACCGCTCGGGTGATAGTCCGTAGGTGTCTGTCTTTACTGCTCGGTTTTGAACCTAGGAGTTCGTTGTGGAACTTCCTAGAACGAGAGTGATAGTCCATGGGGGACCGTCTTTACCGCTTGGGTGATAGTCCATGAGGGACTATCGTCACCGCTAGGTTTTGAACCTAAGAGTTCGTTATGGAACTTCCTAGAATGAGAGTGATAGTCCATGGGGGATTCTCTTCACCGCTCGGATGATAGTCCATGGGGGACTGTCTTTACCGCTCGGTTTTGAACCTAGTAGTTTGTTTTGGAATGTTCCCTGAGTTTTGTGGATGACCCAAACTGTTAACTCTGGATTGACCAAATGTGATGTGTGCATGATCTTGTCATATGCCTTGTAAGACTGATTGGCTAAATACTTGTGAGGCCGAATGACCGAATACCTGTGAGGCCGAATGGCCGACCAATTGAATGGTTGAACACTTGATGGCAAATTTGGCTAAGTGGTAAGTGCGTCATTGGACCCTGAATAAATCTTGAACAATATTATAATATTGAATTAAGATATTTAAATTAAATCATTCGGCAAGGAAGAATAATTATCAAAATATATGTATTTTTGAACAAAGTCGAATGCACGCAAGTGCTGAAGCTATTTTTATATTGTTGGCGAGTCTTTTCGTAGGTGATGCATCAATCACAAAGGATGCTTTTATATCTGTAAAGCCGTAGAAGCTTGCTGACGTTGATGGTGGGAGTTTCTTCAATCAGGATCAATATGTAGGGGCTTGGTCGACATGATGCTGAGACTGCGTCCTTGTCCGATTCCTTGCGGTTTCAACGGGATGCCGCTCGGTTCCACTTTAGGCGCCAAAATGTTTCGGTATGAATTTGTAGAACCAAGAGACTAACCTTTCTAACGTGGCTTTGCTACTTTCAGGCGCTGGAATCGCGTGCTTCGATTGCTCACCTTCAGTCTGGACCGCTCGATTACCTTCAGTCTGGACCGCTCGGTTGCCTTCAGTCTGGACCGCTCGGTTGCCTTCAATATGGACCGGAGGGGGAGGTACTTGCAAAAGGCACTCCGACGCTTAAGTTAGGCGTGTGATTTGAAGAGCTTCTACTCACTATTGAATATTCAGTGAACTGTTATCACTATTGAGTATTCGGACGTAGTGGAGTGTGGGTAGAACGTAAGTAGAATGTAAGTGGTGGAACGTACCTGACTTTTGACTCTGTCATTTATTTATAAATGCTTCATAGATCTAATAAAAACAAACTTACCTGAAGATTCGGTTAGTTACTCATAAACGGCTTATCAATATTTCTAATGAAACATCTTTAATTATTTTACCGTTTGTTGGATTATTGATCCAATAATAACTTGAAAGTTGGCTCAATTAAAATCCAACATTGTTAGTGTGACAGATGGACCAGACCGAACGGGAGTGAATGGACATAACGATCCATACTGTATACCATACAACATTAAATATTATCTAGTTTAAAAAAATATTTGTTATATACCATTTTAACATAACTTTACTTTATCTATTTTAAATAGGAAAGACAAAATATGTCAGTTTGACTCATTTTGGCTTTATTTTCATTGTTTAAAAAAAAAAATCAAACATAAGAAGCCAGATACAGCAATCATCACCATTCACACAAAGAAAACAGTACCACCATCTCCATCCATTTTCATTTTCGGTACTTCATCCAATCACTACCAAAGTAGAAAAACCTTTTATCTTTTGTTTTTAAATTATACGTTAAGGGATATAAAAATAAAAACTGTTTTATCGAAACTAAACTGCCAAAGTATTTTAGAATTGTTTTGATTTATGTAATATTTTAAAGTTTCAGGTATTCAAAAAGTATACCACGTTGATATTTTAAAATATATTTTTTTTTTAATTTGTCAAAATTTTAAAATATACTGATATTAATACTTTAAAATATATAAAAAAATTCCAATGTATCTAAGAAAAAAACCACTTTAACACAACTTGCTCACAAATAATAGCCATTTAACACTTTTTTCTTTTTTCAATAAAACATTATATTATAATAAAATAGAAATTCATGGGATTGTATAATGAATATAAAAAGGAGATAGAGTGCTCTATATCAAAATCAGTACCTGTTAAAAATATACCAAATAAACAAATAAACAGCGCGAATGAAACAAGAGCGAATCTGGACTATTTCATCACAACAAACAGTCATCGATCACAATTTCTATGACCTTAATCCAAATTTCTCCAGGTAGAGAGAATGTACAAAAAGCTCCTGAAAACATTTCCATTTCCATATCAGAGGGTCCATTTCAACAGCATATTCTTAATTTGAAGTTGGTTGCTCTGCAAGCAACTGCAGTGGCCATGAATCCATTTGAGTAGGATACCTGGGATGTGGTTTAGTAATAGTTGATTTGGGTTTTGCAATCTGCTCAACAACATTATGAGGACCATGATTAGTACTTATGGGGACAACCAAAACTGCATGTCCTTGCTGCACTGCTGCTTCTGTATTGGACAATTGCAGATTCTCCCCTGAAAACTCTGTAATCTTTTCTGGTTCTGGAAATGGATTCATCATGTTATGTCCACATTGGACTACTCTTGCTTCTATTTCACCTGCAAGTTTCTCAATTTGACTTTTCAGAACACAATTCTCCTCCAACATCTCATTTTTCTCCCTAGTCACCTGCCCAATTAAGATAATACCATATAATCATATTCAAGATGAAAAATTGATTGAAATCATGAATTACAGATTTCTTTTGTCAATGAACATGGTGGTCTATTAATTTCTTAAGGTTTAGTCTGAGACTATATCCATTCAAAAACATACATTAACCTTTGACAAAATTTCAATTACTGTGTCAAACATACCACTAAAGATACAAACTTTATCCTAAATATAGATGAAATCTTTGAAATTGTTTTTTTTTTCTAAACATGTTTTGATTGATAATTAAAGAAAAAACATGGTTTTAGATAGCTATATAGATCTACACATGCAAGTAATTACCATTGGGTAAAAAGTGAAGAAATAGCTTGTGAAGGGCTTACATAGTGAGTCTCTGACAACAGAGATACACTGTCCTTTTTTAAGGACTCGATCTGACTGAACAAGTCTTTCAGCAATCTGATGGATTCCCTCAATATAGAAGCTTTTCCATTGTTCTGTTCTTTAAGATCTGTTACCTCTTCCCAGAGAAAAACACAACCCCAAAAGAAAAAGAAACAAAGCAGCACTACTATTAGACCATGCAAAGTCTCAAAGATGACCTTATCTAAGAAATCAAACATAAAAATACTGCATGGAACAAACAGATTACTAATAAAGTTCAAATTGACTATAACAGAAGTTTGAGAATCTGATATAAGATTAAAGTACTAAAATTTGAAATAGTGGTGACATAAGATTAAGTTACCGAGTGTATCAGCAAGACCAAGAAAGAGTTCATTCAACTGTTCACGCTTCTCTTTCTCTCTTTCAGCCTTGCGAATCCTCTTAGGGATTTTTTCTTGTTTCTGTTTATTAGCACAAGACCTGCACCACATTAAGCATTTCCAAACTGAATCCAGATACTAAAGCTATTAAGCACTGAATAAAACTTTTGAAGAGCCATGTGTGTGTGAATAGAACCTCTAACCTCTTTCTTGATAAATCTTGTGAATTGTTGAGCTTTTCAACAACAGTGGATGAAATCTCAGACCCCATCATAGAAATCTCAAAGCAACTTTTTAATTACCTGCAATTGTTTCTGAAGAGTGAAAGTTTCACCAACACGACTTTGCTACAAATGACACGCTTCTGAGGTTTGTGGAAAGAGTTAGACATTATTATTGTAAGAGTGTGAGTGTGGCGAGAGGTAACAGTTCGCACCAGGCACGTGGTTACCGCACGCTCGTATGCTCCCACCACCATTCAAACTCCTGCATAACATCTTTTTCTAATTTTAATTATTACTATATTATAGCATAATGTGGGGTTCTAGTATTTATTTTAAGTAAAACATACTTGTTTGGAACAATTTACATGAATTTTAAATTAGTAATTAATGTAATTATTCAGTTAAGTCTTACTCATGAATAATGAGTAATTAATAATTATTTTGAAATTTAACTCAAAATCGTGTGTCGTCCACAGTGACACGTTCCTGCAGCGCGTGTCTACTGTATACATAACACGTTTTCACGTTGAAGTTAGCTACGTCATCATCATATGTGTTTTTATAATTTATGTAAATTTTTTATTTTTTAAATATAGCATGAGAAATGAGTTTAATTAATAGAAATATAATGAAAATAAAAGTTATTACATACGAAACATTAAAGTATACTTTAATAAATTAAAAATTGTGCCTCTTTGTATTTAATATTTGAAATGTTCTGATGTTAAAAACCACTTTAAAATTAAAGTGTTAATGTTGAGTTTGCATGTGAAAAAAAACACAGTTCTTAATACACAAAAAGTGGAGTGAGCTTGTAAGTCAAATATTTATTTTATATTTCTGAAAAAAAATCACTTCTATTAATGAGTATTAAAGTTGTCTTAGTGCATATGTTTTCTTCCATAGCGAAAAGTAAATATTAAAAAGAAATACCATGATTTTGTTGAAAAAAATGTTAAAAAAATATAAATTCTCAATTTCATTAAAATTGTACTATACTTAAAAAGGTTGACGATATTGTTGATAAAAGAATTATAAAATAACTTTGATATCCATATGAAATTGATTATGCAAACTATTGTAACTATTAAAACAATTATTACATATTTTAATACATGAATGATTAACATAAATAATAAAAATGAAATAAAATAAAAATTCAAAAAATAATAATATATACATTAAATTTTTCCCAAAAATATAAAAGTGTTTGTACAAAAAAGTTCATAATACATAATTGATTAGATTATAACTATTTTATTAATATTTACAGATATCAACTTTACATAATTCATTTGGATTAATTTTTATATTTCTTATTTGTAATAAAATAATAATATTAAAATAAAGAACTAATAATTAAAAAACACATTTTATATTTTATTCTTTTTACTTTTTTTAGTCAAACAATTTATTTTCTATCCTTTTTTCTTTTTCAAAATTTTAGTTTCTATAATCTGATCCAAACTATACATTATTCTTCAATAAAATATTTAACAAAATTTTCTAAAGTGAATTTAAATGATTAGTTTAAATATGTTATATCCAGGGAAATGTTTGAAATGTCATGGAAATCATTCGATAGTATAAGATTGAAGAAAAGAAATTCAAAAATGTAACTATTATTGGAAACAGTGCAGCAAAGCATTGGTCAAATATTGATATGTAAATTTAATTTTATAATAAAAAGTTTTGAAATAATTATATGAGTAAGAAGTAATATATTAATTCACACATCCAATTATATATATATATAATATGTTATCTAAAGAATTATGTTGTTTCTTAATAAAATGTTTTTTATAACTAAAATTAATATAATTTATTCTTATTTTAAGTTTTTCTATTAGGATTAATCATTATATTTTATTAGTATATGGTCATTTTGGAGATTGAAATTTAGTTATAATTTTATTCTTAAAAGATGTCTTGGAGATGGAAAGAGGAAGTAATATTTAAACTGTATCAAGTTTCGACTTTTAAGCAACATAAGACTATTGGATATGATAAGACTATTGGATATGATAGGATATATATCTCTAATAAGTTGGAAATTGATCTATCCAAGCCAATTGTCAACACAAGTTAGCCCAAGACGACCCAGGTTGTGCTGAAGGAGACAAGCTATCTAGGATTGAAGGTGAAATGAGTTTATCATAGTCAAAGGTTAAGATAAGTTGTTCTACATGGAAGATCGATATTAACTGACCAAAGACATAAGTTAAGAATGGTTGACCTAGGTCGATTGTTACAACGAATCGACCATAATTGATTATCAAGACGCACCAGCATGGTCGAATTTAACAAAAGTTTTGTTGCAACCAACTTAGTTGAATTTAATCACATTTAAAACTTGGACAACTCAACTGAATGCCAGTTAGGGTCAATGACCAAAATCAATAGAATTCATTAAATTTAAGTGGTGTCGGCCGAATCAACTGAGTTCGGACAAATTTCAACGTAATCAAATTCGATCGATCATTTTTTTTTTATTGGAAGTGACTCGATCTAATATTATGAGAAGCTAGTTCTAGAAAATATATTATGATAAAAAGTCATGTTTCAAGTTCATTCTAAAACTTGTTATGAAAATCTTATTTGGAAAAGCTTGTTCAAAATATTTATGAAACATAATCCAGACGGTACTCTTCGCAGGATAAAATGAATATTTTAAACATCATTGGGTACAGGAAGGAAAAACCAATATTAGGTCGCATTTTACTATGTCACATTATTTCTTACTCACTTACTATTTATTTATTCTAGAATGATTTGATAAGCTAATTTCATCGTTCAAGAAAATCATGAGCACCTGAATTTGGATCAAACATATTCTATCTAGATGTGATGATACACACACTTCTCATTATGCCACTAAGATATCTTTTGCAATGACTTTTAATTCAGTAAAAGATAGACACAGACTTCTATAAACTAATGGATCTTTTATACATTTTACAGTCACTAAATGTAACGTGTAAGATAACTTTAAGTTCTTGAGCATCCAAATTTGAATTTGCGAGGATTCATTCTTCCATTCAGAGCAAGGGCAAGCACATCATATTCTTCAACGTACCATAATTCAGACACCACTGCCTGGAAATGTATCAGAAAAGTCAAATTATACGTAAATAAAGTTCATATATATATATAAAAGAAAATATTGTAGTTACTGTTAGGACATATTCAAATAATAATAATAATTAAAAGAAAAAATGCAAGTGCTTTCTTAAAGTCCCTTTACCACTAATATTTAATCTTTATCATTCCTTCATAGATATATATGATCTAGAAGATTATAAAGATCATAAACATTCCAATACCAACTGCTAAAAAATCTCAGATTTCAATATTTTTAACTCCAATTCACACTATAAATAATCACATACCTGGAATCCACGAATCTGACTGTTAAGCCGATTAACTAGCTCATGGAAAAAGTGGATATCATCTGACGTATTAAGTTGTTCCTGCATAATAACATGAAGTCATTATTTGCTATACTTTTTGTCCTCATATTCATTTCATATAACTTTTTCATCAATATCAGTTCACACTTTACCATACTTCAAACATATTGCCAAACAAAAAAATAAGAAAAAATGCTTAAGTCATATGGCAACATAAACTTCAAAACTTTATAAAGAGCAGCTATGTTTGCATGTGGAGGAAAATCAAATTAATGCCAACTTGTTTATAGGTAACGGACAATTAACTGTTGATGTAGATTTCAGGAACCAAATGAAATGAATATTACCGTAGGTGATGATACTGTAGGCGGACCCAAAAGCCTTGCAAATGAGGTGTGGAGAATTGCAGCATCATACTAGAGATGAAAATAACATATCATCAAGAAGGTAACACAATTTTAGTGGCATATATGACTTAAAATTACCAAATAACGTTAGAAAAACGATAGGATGAGTTCACACAGGGAACAGTAATATCATAAGAGAATTCTAAAGAGGACACTACAGGACATAAGATTTCAGACTCCTGAAAAGCCATGCTTCGTGTCTTAATTCCCACAGCTTTCAAATTTATCAGGTTCTAATTGCATCTTCAAACTCCACAGTGTAGTCCCAATTAAAACATTGATAAATACACAATTTACTTATAGCAAAATTGAGTATGCAAGCCATGCTTACAAGTTGCTTTTCTGGTGCACGTGGAAGTGCATTCTTCAACATAGAACGAATGATTACGGGATCTGTACCCGAGATGACCTAGGAAATTAGCATAATTAGTCAGCCAAGGTCTGTGAATGTGTCAGAAGTTTTAATACTTGCACAACTCAACATAAAGAGTAATGGAAACATTTCTGCTTTTCTTTGGTTACTAGTTTCAGTTTCTTTCTATATACTCATTGTTGCTCAGGTTGAAAGTTTCAACAATTGACTATGCTTTGCAGGTCGGAATTAGCCAATAAAATGAAACTTGAAGTCACCAAGTTTATATAAAAATGCACAGAAAATATCCCAAAATGTTTTTATATAATCAACAGATAAAGCATTTCTGTTTCCCTCTTAGTGAAAAAATAAGGACCAAAATGTTTCTAAGAGTAAAATAATGCCAAAATATTTCCTGAATCAGTAAACCTAAAAGTCTGAATGAATCATACAAGTAACTAAGAATGCCATAATATTTCCTAAAATACAAGTACGCTTCAAATAATTTGACCGAGATTGTTGCCCTAGGAATAGTACAATGGATCCAAATTTGAAGCTTATACAAGGTTAGGGAGAGTAATTGAAAGACTTTGGAAGATATCGCCGTCTAGTAGACAAACATAATTACCTCACTATCACTAAACCAGATATCACATGCAGTTAATGTGGTTAGCCAACTCCTAAAGGCCCCATGTGAAAGTCACTGGGATGTTGTGATACATCAAGAATGCAGCAGGTCGCTGTTTAATATCAAGGTTCCAAAATTGTACTATTCTGATACTGATCAAGTTGATTGTCATCGGATAGAGGTCCACTTCTACATATTGTATTCTAATTAGTAAGTAATTGATTTCTTCAAGGAACAAGTGCTCAAGCTGAGTATCGGGCAATGACAGCAGCTGCATGTGATAATACTGGCTTAAACAACTTCTCCATCGTTTTATATCTGGATATACAGAGATAATTGGCTAATATATGACAATGAAGTCGCCATTCACATTGCATCAAACTTGGTCTTCCATGAATGGACTAAACACATAAATTGATTGTTATTTTGTGAGAGAGAAGATGCTCTCAAGAGAAATCATCACTAACTTTGTCAACTAAAAGTGACCAACTTGCAAACATGCAAACTAAATTCCTGAGCTCTCATATTGACCCATTTGTAACAAGTTTGGCTCATATGACATATGCGAGGGGAGTGTAAAAGATATGATTGGATCTTAATAAATAGGGAAATATGTGGAACTGATAATTAGGGATATTCTCCTTTATTAGCCATTGTTAAATTTCCCTATAGTATCATTTGAATAATTATAAATTTAGGCTTTACACGTGTGATTAAACACACAATTCACAGCAACAGAGAAACTCTTCAAGTGTCATGAACAATGGAACAAATACTTTAGATTATGGAAAATAACCTGCCAGCAACCCAGGAGCACTCCAGTTGAAGTCAAAACAACTCTATCCAAAACAATCTTCAAAGGGCAGAGTTTTGAAACAACAGCTTTCACAGAGGATGCTTCAGCTTCTATCTGACACAAAAATGATACCCATGAGCTTATTAAGCATACTTCAAAATGGAACAACGGCATCCATAAGTGAAGTATACCTCTTCTTTGGTAGCGAGTACAGGAACAATATGGTGGGAGGCATGGAACATGCTAAAATGGTACAGACTGGAGTTCTGAAACCAGATTGCTAATTGACAAATATGTAAAATTCCAATAAAAAGAAGAAAAAAAAGGATGAAGAGAAGTTTGAAGCAGCATGGGTTTGCTTAAAGTTTAAACATATTGACCAGTAAATGAATTCTAATTCTGCTATTGGTTGATCCAATAATATAGCTTACCTTTATCAAAGTATGGATTAAAATTATTTTTGACAGCCTCCCTGTGTCATGCAAATGGTGCATGTGTTATATGAATATCAAATTGCTTGGTGTAAATTAATAAACATATTTAATCAAAGAAGATAAATACGGTAATAAAGAAGGATATATATGAAACTGAAGATCATCATTTCTACAGTCATAATTTATGAATATGATGCGCAATTCTCCATAACAATGAAAGCAAAATTAAAAATGGATATTCTCAAACTTGATAAAATAAATTTTATACAATGTCTTAGAAAGTAAGCTTTACACCTAACTTAACATCACAAAATCATATTAAAAGAAAATATCTATTTATATATTATAACAACGTGGGATCTCCAACACATCCTTTCAAGCAAGAACTGGACATCTAAAGTGTGTGAGAGAGAAGATAGAATGAGGTTGTTTGATAATCTTTTGGACAAGATTGGAAGAGTTGTCTGTCATCATTATATCAACACACATCAACAAGTAAATCATGTCAATGTGATTTTAACAAGTAAAATGAGAGGGATCCCATACTAAACAATAGTGCCTCGTAACTTGTCAAACATTGACGCGGGGTTTGGTTCAAATAACCTTGTTGAGTTTGCATGCTAATAAAGAATCAACCGCCTCGTAGTCAGGAGATTGTTTCATGTAAACAAATTCATCCAATAGACCATTTAGGAATACATTGTTCCCATCAAACTGAAGAAGTGAGCAATGTCTGGTAAGAGATAAGGACAATATAATACTGTTAGTGTTGTATTCAGTTTGATATAGTTTTTGTCATAGGGGTTCGTATTATTTGATGTTCTTTACAGCCCTGTTTCTTTTCAATCTCTACATACAGAGAATCCTTGTTTTCCTTTGTACACTTTTATCAATACAAAAGTTACCTTTCCAGTTTCTCATTTCTCTCTCTCTCAACTCTAATATGGTATCAATAGCTCAGTGATCCATGGATTCAGAAAATAATCCTCCTCCTCCTCCTCCACCTCCACCAGCAGGTAGTGAATCTGGCTGTACTGTTTCCTCTGCAGTTTTTGTCAAGATTTCCAACAAACTTGATGATTCCAACTTGCTTTGGCGTCAACAAGTAACCATGCAACAAATTCCATCCTCTTCAACATTTTGTGTTCAATCCCTCTATTCCTTTGTGGTTTCTCAGCGAAACATATCAGGATAATGGCAAAATTAATTCAGTCTTGTATTCTTGGATCAGATGTTGTTGTCTTGACTGCAGTCCACTCTATCAAGAGTGAGTCTAACAACTGCTCTGATATCAATTGTTAAGAAATAATGCACATTTCCTATAAATGCGGAACAATCACACACAAAATTGATAGCAGAATTCAGCCAATTATTCCTACGTCTCCAGGTTGCCGCAGACCTTTTATTTGAAAGAGAAAATTACAAAACAGGTGTTTACAAAACACTCAACTCACCACCCAAATAAACCCAGAAAAATAAAATATTATTTTTATCTCTGTTTCTTATCTCTCTTATTTTTTCGTTGTTGTTGGAATACTTAAGATTTTGCGTATAGGTATTTATACATACATGCTTCATTTCTAATCCTCACAATTAATTTCCTATATTTAAGTACTCTATAAATTTCTTGGTTTTTATCTTTCCTATAGAATAGAATACATTCCTCCCGTGTTGTTTCACCAGTTCCAACAATCTCCCACTTGAAGACTAATTTCAATTTGACTTCACACCTTGATTAATGGAACAACTTTCTATTGTATGTTATTCTAGCAGGCCAATTGAAGTTGGGCACAACTTCAATTTGTCAATGGTTACTACCTTTGTAACATATCTGCTGGATTTTACTTCCTATAATTTTCTTAATGTTTGCACCTCATCCTCAAGCAAAGATTGGATGAAGCAATTGCGGAGACCAATGTGTTTTGTTCTAGAATGAAATGTTGAATTCTTTGCCAGATGTATTGCACTCTGACTATCACTATATAGAACACTCTTCTCGATAAATCCCAACTCAGTTAACAAACCTTGAAGCCATATCAATTCTTTACTAGCTTCTATTACTGCTTCACACTCATCCTTCCACTTCACAACATCTCCCTCTGCTATGCTAACCAATACTGATGCTTGATTATTGCCAACCCCATGACTAATCGTCCCAGTTCTGGGGCTTCATTTCACATTACTGGAGAAAGTCAGAATATTCAACATAATATTCCTTATGAAGGTCCTGAACATATATTTATATTCGTAATAGTCAAGGCTTTCTGTTAGGTACCTGGGTTTGTGACCTAACTTTTCTCTCAACACCCACTCATGCCAAAGCAAATAAACAAGAGAAAACAAAGGAAATGTGTATAATCCTTGTAATTGTATATATTCATTGTAACTGTAAAACGAAAACAATAACAACTCGGGAGCCTAATCCCCCTCAACAAGGTCCAAGACCTGTTTACAAAACATAAGAAATGGCTCGCCCCGAACAGAATAACAAAAGGTTTATTTATACTCTCTCTCCCCCTACCAGCCTCACAAACTTTCCCGCTCTTTTTATTCATCCTCTACCGTTCGATATTAGTGTATATACCGTTCAGCTCCTATACTCGTATTCCCTTACCGTTCGGACACCCCCCTTTCCTTACTACCATTCGGTATTAGTGTATATACTGTTCGGTTTCTTCACTCCTTCCTCCCATCGTTCGGTATTAGTGTAGATACCGTTCGGTTTATACTTCCCTACTCCCTTTTGGCTACCGCTCGGCATCTACTTCCCTCCTCCTTCCAGCTACCGTTCGGTACTTCCCTCCTTTCTTCTGGCTACCGCTCGGCCTCTACTTCCATCCTTCCTTCCAACTACCGTTCGGTAGTTCCCTCCTTCCTTCCGGCTACCGTTCGGTATTCCTCCGCTCATATATTTTTAACTTCCTAACATTACTCCACCCCTCAAAATCAACCTTGTCCTCAAGGTTGAAGTCATGAAACTGTTATTTGATGTAATGCTCCTCTTCCTAGGTGGCGCCCTCCAATTCAGGTCTGGAGGCTTGGGTGGTGGCAAATCCTCCTCCAATATCTTCCATTCTTCCTGGATTCTATTAACTTCCAGCATACTGCACCTCAAATCCTCCACCGATGTCTTCCATTCTTCCTGCTCAACCTTCATGCTCAGCTGCCACCAATATACTTTCATTTTTCCCAGGGATGCCAAACAGGTAACTCCTAATATCACATCCACCCCTCCCAACTCCAAGAGATAAAGTTTATCTCTGATTCCTAATCCCTCCACCTCAGCAATATAATCATTTCTAGTGCTCAATATGTCAATTATGCGAACAGACTCTCGTAGTCCATTCATCATCACACCCCCAACCGTATCTAGGTGCTCTTGGCAGGTTACTTCATCAGCAAAAAACAAACAGTTATCAATTGATCTCCCTACTATATCATAGTCATCTCCTGAGTTTCCAACCGCAACATAAGAATAATCACCATAACTAAAAGGATTCCTACTCCAATCAATCACAACATAGCCAACACCAAACGCTTGCATAGCAAGATGACAAACCCTTTAAGGTGAATTCATTATCTCATAATAAAACACAGAGAAATTTAGAGCCAGACCCAAACGAATAGAATGTGTAGGTTGAAATTCACTCTCAATAGTGGTAACAACGGTCTGATATGCTTTAAATGACTGATCTGCTACCTCTATTTTTTTATTACCAGCTTTGAATTCTGCCAAGTACAAGTAATAGTCTCCTTTCATCTTATAATAAAACATTGTGGACTCCGCAATATTAGTGGATGGGATAAGATGTTCATCTAAAATTATCCTAATAGCACTGCAAGTATTAGACAGCTCCAACTCGACCTTGTGCCTATAATTCCTTATGCGCTTAACATTCAACTCATTCCCTTTTGACTCCTCTTTCTGCTCTATCGATGACAAGATCCTCCATGAAACTCTCTGTGACCCCACCACATTTTTGTATCCAACAAAGAATAAGTTCCTCTCTTCCACTCCGCTCAACGTCCAGCTTCGCCACCTTCTTCATGGCATCCACCATTTTTGCACACCTATTTTGTTTCGTTTCTTCACTGCTTCGATTTGGTTCGACCCTCGCCACCGCACCTCCTCCGCCTACACTCCGCCCCCACGCTGATGGGTTTTTATTTCCGCTCCAGCCCCCATCCTTATTTCCCTTGCGAGCTTCCTCCACGTCCCTGGCGATTCGCATGGAGGCCATCAGTGCTTGGGGATCTTGTATTCGAACTTGATTTCGTATATCCTCCTGCAAGCCCGCGAGGAAATACCCCAGTAGTTGTTCCTCCGGCAACCCCTTCGTCTGCCCCGCCAAACCCTCGAATTCTTGGACGAACTCATCCCTTGTCCCCATTTGTTTAGTCGCTGCTAATCGCTCAAAGACCAACCCTTTGTTTCGACCCCCAAACCTCATTACCAGTGCATCCTTCAGCCCTTCCCAGGATTGGTTCCTGGCCTTCGTTCTCCAGGCCCGGATCCAGTATCATGCACTCCCTTCCATACTAATGCATGCTAATCGCACTTTCTCCTCCTCCGAGACGCCTTGCACTTCGAAAAAATTTTCCGCGCAATTGATCCAATTTAGCGGATCAAAACCCTCGATAAGGGGCAATTCTACCTGTTTTCGCCACCCGCCGTGACTTTCGCCGCGCTCTCTGACTCTTTCTCGGATCTCGTCTTCCCGCCTCGTCCTCCGATTGGCGTTTACAGACGTTTGACTACCGTTAGACATCCCCTCCTGGTCACACGCCCTTCCTCCCAAAATCCGCATGACTTCTTGCAAGTCTTGCCGTATCGCCGTCATATCTTGGCGCCATCCGTCGACCGCTATCTCCATGGCGTCCCGCTGGTTCTCCACTACACTCAGTCTTCCATCGAGTGTGCCCTCCATTGCTCTCTTCTCCCTTCAATTGGATCTGGCAGGTTGGACCAATTTGTTAGGTTCCTGGGTTGGAAACCTAACTATCAACGCTCACAGTAATCAAAAGAACAAAGAAAGAATGGATTTATGTATTGATATTGAGAACAAAGTACATTGATGGCGTTAATGGAGGCCTAATCCCCCTCTTCTGGCCAATGTCCAGATTTACAAAATAATATTCAAAAACTCCCCTGACAACATAATAGAGTACTATTTATACAATTCCTCCTCCTTCTATCCTAAACCCATTACCCATTATACCCTTACCACCCTATATCCTAACACTTTCCTTTTCAATCTTCTGGTTCTTCCTATTTTTATTGTCCACATCATCCTAAAGTTTCTATACCTTTTCATCAATTACTGCTTGTTCCTATTATAGCTAAAAGTCTAATTAGTGTTAGAAATATGCTAAGGACAATTTTGTTTATTTTTAATTTCATGCTACCCATTGTTTTATCAAATCACAGTTAACTAATGAAGTGCTTGTTCAAGGAAACTTCAACCTAAATGGTCTCTATCCCTTTCCACCTTGCGACTTCTACCTCATCCTCTTGCTAAATCTTGTTTCTCTGTCAATTCTGTAATCAATATTAACAATAACAATAATATTCAATCTGTTTGGAATGCTAGACTAGGCATCCTAATGCTCATGTTATAAAACTAGATTTTCAGCAATGTAATACTCCTTTTTCTAATAAAAAAGTTGTTTCTTTTTGTAAAGTGGCAAAGTTCACAAAATTCCTTCTTCCTTGTCTCAAACTGTTTACAATTATCCTCTTGAACTTGTTTATATTGACTTATGCGGACCTTCTCTTATGTTATCCACTAAGGACTTTCTTAGGTAGGGAAGTAATGAGAGGGGTTGGAAAGTGTATTATAAGAAGAAATTTAAAAATAAAAGTAGTTAAAAAGTTAGTTGTTATGGGGGTGAGACTTTCTGAGAAAAGTCTATACAGTCTTATCTTGTGAGATGTCGGGTAGAGAGGTCTTTTGTTGTTGTGACAGGGAATTCCCTGTGTGAAAGGAAAACTTTTCCTTTGTGAGCTGATGCTTATGCTTGGCGTTAATAATTGCTGAACAATACAAAAAAGATCTTTGTCAACATTTTCTAAATTTCCCTGAAAATTCTAATTTAAATTTCCTTGAGAATTCAAGTAAAACTTGTCTTGACTGAGAGGTTGATAACTCCAGTCAAATTGATGAAAGCAGAGGGAACTAGTATGTCCATACTTGAAACATATTTGGATTAACAAAGTTTCCACCATGGGCATGACCACGACCTATATAACCAAATTACCACTAAAAAAGAAGAGGAACCGTGAAAATCAGTGACATGAGCTTTTGCATCTTGAGTTTGTTGGGTTTGGAATAAGCTTAAATGTATTAGCTATTGGAATCTTATGGATAGATAATGTATTAGCCGTTGAAGTTTTATGCATAGTTAATGTATTAGTCGTGAATATTTAATGTGTTAGCCGTTTTTAACCTTTTTATTTGTTTTGAGTATAAATTATATTCTTGATTGCATGAATAACACCAACAACAGAGGTGAATCAGTTTATTCAAAGAGTAAATTTGTTGTCATCAGATTTTGATTCAGAGCCATTGCACTAACAATTTTTTCATCATTGTGTGAAACTGAATTTGATACTAGCGCTTGAGTCAGATTAAGAAAAGCAGAATCGAGAACAACTATCTTACAATACTTTTGAAGACAAGACTCACGCACAAGTAGAGGTTCAACTTCTTTAGTAGGAAGAGTTCAAACTTACTTTCAATATTAGATTGAAGGCTTGAGGCAAACCTTCAAGTATAACATTAATGTCTTCTTAAGAGAAACAAGATCTCCCATAGAGGCAAGGCAATTAACCAACAATTTCATTCAAAGAAGAATTTCTGACATCAACAATTTTCAAGAGACATGGAGCAATGTTCATTGCAAAGTTGTTCCACTCTTGCTCTCAACTATTTGTGAAAATACTCATGCACTTTATCCCAAACCTTATAGCAATAAACATTTCCAACAACATGAAAAAGAAAAGATCGGAGACTATAACCATGTCGATAGCATTTGATCTTGTTCCTTAGTACTACATGCTGGATTGGTTTTTACAGTGTCACAATTTACTTCTCTAAGAAATCTAAGCAGAGCCACAAAGTGTTGAAGATGATGCCTAACTCTGCCTATTTCCACAAAAGCAAGAAGTTGAAATCATATAGTTTCTCTGAAATCTTCTCAAAGGTAGCGGAGGAAGGGGAAGACTGAGGATTTTCAGCCATAAAGGACCTTCAAGCTCTTGATGCCATATTAGAGTTCGACAGGGAGAGCGAGAAGAAGAGAAAGCTAACAGGGAAAGAAGATATCTTTTTGAATTGCACACAACTGATGTACAAGAGTCTCTTTATATAGAGCAAAGAGAAAGGTACAAATCTTATTTATCCTCACCAATACCGAGATACTATGAATCCTATGGATGGTTTGTTACTGATACGCAAATTTTCAATAAATTCCACAAAAGAATTTACCAGAGACAGATAGAAGGTGCAGCCTATATCAGACATAGAGAAAAACAATTTTTAAGTATATATCAAAGCTACGCAGTAGTATGACCATCTGATTCAAAACCATGGCCAAACTCAGAAAAAAAATGTATCTTCAACTAAGCATAGATGCATTAAATGATCATCAGTGAAACATAGGAGTCAAATTAGTAACACTTACGCGATAGGTAAAGAGAATTCAGTGCTCAAATACAATACATTAGCTCGCACCGGAGGATTTGCAGGCTGCACATGGAAAATAATCATCAGTTGCTGCCCAAACAGATATATGAAACAAAGCCTAAATTGTGTTACATGTCACCTTCATAACAGGTGTCACATATCCATCTTTCAGTGTGAATATATCTGAAAGGGACAATGACTGAGAGGTTTCACCATGTTTCAGGAAAGCAGCTCCATGCTCATCCAGATCTCTCCCCATCTTGTCATACAACTTTGATCTTTGCTCCGTGTAAGAATTTTGAGAATCTGAGACAGACCCCTTCTTAATTTAGTACCAAAATCGCTTATATCTCCCTCAAAATCAAATTTTGAATAAAACCCACCTCCAAGACAACACCGTTACACGGAATTATTACATTAAGCCAAAGAACAAACAGTAAAAGTTCCAACTTGTCTCGGGAAGGCCAAATAACGAGCAATTTGATAAGCAAAAATATGACCCAAATGGAAGAAACTCTTGACAATTGTCACAAAAGTAAATCTTCCATAAAATGCAAACATAAACGAAACATAACGACCTACCAAACTGAACCTAATGTAAAGAAAAGTTTGAAAATTGATTGGTAAAAGAACCAATATTACCTGTAGAAGCAGATGAAAAAGTTTGCGATGAGTTGTGAAGTGCCATTCTGAACAAGGTGAAGAAGCAGAAGGCACAGATGAGCCAGATCAAAGCCACCCTCTTGGGATTAATCAAGTTCACAGTCTTAGCCGTCATGATTTTGTATGCCACGCAAAACCAAAAGGTAACTGTGCGAGAACAATCCCAACCAAATCAGAATCAGCGTCATCCCCACCCATTAGCCGATTTCTTATTCCTCACTTCAATGTAATTAGCTAGCGTGATATATGGGCACAATATCCATTAAACTTTTTTTTTTTGTATATATACATCTATGATAAAAAACTTTTTCATGCAATTCTATTTCTACAATGACCATATTAATATTGAAATTTACTATTTCATACATATCATTCAACGTTTTCCATTTAAATAGAGCTCTTCTAGAAAAATTAAATTTGATTGAATTTTTACTTCTATTATAGCGAAACCTCTTTTCTGATTTTTTAGGTTATTAAGACTTCCTACAACATGTCTTTCAATGTAATAATTTTCTAACAAAAATGTAATTTATGGATTTATAATGAGTCAATAAACCATAAATACTACAATTTTTCACTCTCTTAATATTGAGCAAGATAAATAACAAAAATTAATAAGATACATAGTCATTATTCTCTTTACACACTAATTAAATTACAAGTTTGAAATGGAAACTTTCAATAATACTAAATGAAATTTAAAAATACAAATCGTTAATTAAATTTAGTGTCAGTAATTAAATTAGTTTTCCTTATTATTGTAAATTATTAAAATTTTATGTACAATGAAAAAGATAATAACTACTTTATAATGTGTGGTAATAAATTATTTTTAATGTTAGAATCATTGTTTCGGAAAATAAAAATATTTATTTTTTTAAGAGGAATAATATCAATAAAAATATGTAATTTTTTATCCTTAAAAAATTAGATGTACATAAGAATTCAAAGTTTATTTAGATAAAATAAAGTTTTAGAAATTAAAAGAAGAAGTGGAAGGCAAATAAAGCAAATTCAAGAAAGAAGTAGTAAGAAATTATAATTTAAATACTTGAAATAAAGGTAAGAAAAACTTTTATGTAATCTATTATTGTATTATAATTGTAAGGAAATTTATAATTTGTTATTTTATTATAATCATTTTATATTATTATTATTAATGTTGGAGCAGGATGATGCTTTTGTTGGTTTTATTGGGTTGATGAAGAAGGCATTGATGATTACTCTACTCTTATGGCATTGTCGTATTTTCGGTCTTGAAGGTCGTCAGCTCCTCTTCGTATCTCCGTTGTATTTTTTCTACCTGTCTCTGCATGTTTATGATCATCTCCAATTAACCAAGGTGATTCTCTGACTCCTATGTCACGACGTAGCTCGTCATATTTCTTGTAGTCATCATTGGTTTGTTGGTTGTTGAATAATCGGTTTCACGGTGGATATCAAAATGTTTCAAGGTGTAGGGTCGAGATCAATAGTACAACGTTAAGTAAGTCGTCCAAAGGTCCAAAAGTTGTTTTCAACTCTGAGTCCTCTCATAACCGTTCATCCAAGCCATTTTGAGGTACCTACAAAAGGAACTCTGATGTCAAAGTCAGTTCAACGTTTGCAGTTCAAATATTAATGGTATAGTAAATGTAGGTCACCTAATTCCATACCTAAAACCTATATTTATAGATTTTGGAGTGAGCTTTTGATTGACAATGACTTAATTATGGCCCAATTATTGGTAATCACACTTTCCTTCTAAGTTTTTCAGCATTAAGATTAATTGTCTTGACCATTGACTAATCAGTCCGACTTTCCGACCGTCTGGTCCTGATGGTAGTATGTTTGTACGTCCTAATGAAACTTAATTGTTTGGTCTGTTGTTGACCAAAAGGTCATACGGTACATAAGATATGAGAGAAAAGAGTGAAAAAAGAAAAGAAAAAGAAATTATTTAAATTAGATGCAATGTGTAAAAAGTTAACTATATTTATAAGCGAATTGGCCTATTTGTTGATAAGAGATCTGAGAGGACACATGTAAGAGAGCTATTTTACAAACTTCAAACTTGTACTATTTTGTTCATTTTAAACTTTCTCCTTTTGTACTAATGCTTTCTATATTATTTAACAGAAAGAATTTTCAACTGTACTCTCATAGGCCAATTAGAGGTGGGATCATGCCTTGATGCATCAGAAGCAAATTCTAATGACGATGACATCATTAGGACACAGTCCTGAGTTGACGTTGTTGATGGAAGAAAACGAAAGACTATATAGATAAGATAACTTATTACCAATTACACTACTGAAAGAGATATATTGAAAGACCAACCATCTGCCTCCAGCAGTTCTAACAAGATTGTTTTCTAGCTTAAACAACAACTACAAGGTCGTGACCAAGCTTATGATGAACTGAGAAAATGATTTAAGAATTTGGAAAATATGGTCATGAAATTGTTGCCTCAAGAAGGACAGACTCAGTCCATCCCATCATCGTCCCAGCAACAACACCTTCTAATCCAACCCACCTAGTGCAACCATCTCTCCACCAATAGCCACCTTCCTAGCAACAACTTCAGCAGCATGAAGAAGAAGATAATGATTCAGAAGACTATGATGATTCTTAGGACTTTTTTTAGTTTACAAACATTTATTTTAAGACTTATTTGTTTCTTTTATGAATGACAATATAACTATGATTTTAAAGATATGGATTTCATTTATGATTCATTACATTGTCTGAATTGTGACATTTGTCTCTATTGTTTTTATTGATAGTATATTGTTGACAGGTTAATTGTGGTGGAAAGGAAATGTTGTCCACACTACATATAATTATGTTTTGTACTTTACTAACGAAATATTTCATCGATAATGTAACTCATTTTGTCAAGTCATTATCAATGGATCATGACAATCAATAATTGACGACCGGGATTTATCAGTAAATGTTTCCGACAATATATTTATTGATGATTTTTGTCTGTCGAAAATCTATCAAAAATTAATATTATCGACAAATTTCTTTCGTTGATAAATCAAGTTTTTTTATAATCACTAGTGCAAAAACATCGTATAACGTCACACATTCAACGTCCAACTACTAAATAGCCAATGTTAAAAATGATCGGTGGCATTTTTGTAAATAAATGCAATTGTAGAACGTCGAAACCTCATTCAATTCGACATTCTATGATGGTAATTATTTAAACCAACGTGTCATTCTCTTTCTTCTTTCTTTTAAACCACCAATAGTACGTCGAATTCTGTAGGGGTTCGACATAATATTTGTCAGTTAGAAGCCAAAGAGTCACCCATTTTAATTCTTTTTTCTTTTAAACAAAAAATAATATGTCGAATTCTTTTTCAGCTAGAATTCTTTTAAACAACAAGTAAGGGCTTCGATGTATTATTTGTCACCCAGATGCCAAAAAGTAAGCCCTTTTAAATTCTTTTTTTTTCTTTTTTCTTTTAAACCACATATTATACGTCGAATTTTGTAGGATCTTCGACGTATTATTTGTCCGCCAAAAGTTTCCCCTTTTTAATTTGAGCGGGAGATTGAAAACTCATTCACTTTATTTTAGCGCACGAGACCCTCTTCTCTTCTCAAACTTTTCTCGAACGAAGTTTGACGAACATCACATGTAATCTTTCTTTCATTTGATACAAATGCATGTTAGTTAACTACGTATAATTTTTGTTTGTTTTAACCGATTATTTTCGTGTTCTTGTCCTTCATAGGTGCATTCTGTTTTTTCTCTCACTGGTGAAAACACTTTATTCCGACGAACCCACCTTTTGAAGGTTAGTTTTCGATTTTGTTTTGAAGAACTTATTTGTTGAACTTGTTTGTTGTTGTTTTTTGTTAAACTTGTTTGTTGTTGTTATTTGGTTGAACTTGTTTGTTATTGTTGTTGTTGTTTGATTGAACTTGTTTATTGTTTGTTATTGTTATTTGTTGTTGATAATATACTACACATTCATAGGTCATGCTTTATAAAATATCAAAAACTGAAATTTGTTGTTTTTCTGCTTTTCAGTAGAGTTGTAAACAAAGATTACAAATCAAAAAAAAAAATTGTTTAACGTTGAATATTAACAAAATTCGATTTCAATTTGATTAACGTCGAAGTTTTTAAATTCAACGTCATTTAACGTCTTCCGATATGACGGTTGACCTCGAATTTGACGTGAAAGGCCAAAAGAACTACGACGTTATACGATATTTTTGTACTAGTGAATGTTAATTATCATGAATGTTTTTATTTGTTATTTTAATTATTTTTTGCTGTAATAAAAATAAAAATATTTTATAAAAACAATTTTATATGTCAACATCTTAGTTTGTTATATATATATATATATATATATATATATATATATAATATGTAATTTTATGTGTTAATGTTTTTATATCTATGCATAAATCTTAGTTATACACTCTTTAATATTTTTATTTATATTTTTTAATATTTTTTATCTATATATTTGTTCTCATTTTCTTTATGTAATTAAAGTAATTATAAATATATTAATCAAAATTAGAAAATAATTATTAAATTAAAAGTAAAATGAATACATGAAAAACGATATTATGTGTAAGAGTGGAAAAAATAAATTGTAATGTACTGTTAAAAACTGCATTAAATAAAAAAAACTAGTTCACTTAAATTATGCCGAAGTAAAAAATAGTTTAGATGAAATGAATTGAAATATATTTTATTTTATCAAATGTACTTAATTACATCGAATTACATTATAACTGATTTTTTAACTATACTAATTTTTGAAAAATATTCCATAGTTTGTTTTGGAAAAATAATCTAAAACGAAGACTGACAACAGAAAATAAGTTTCACTGTAAGTGTAGAACAATTTTACATATTCAAGACACAAATAAAGGAAAGGAGGAAAATATTCAAGAAAAGCCCTATACTGTTGATCAGTCTATCTCAATAAATTGAACAATCGAATGTGAGTGTCTCACCCAGAAAATGAGAGATGGTTATCAGAAATGGATTCCAACATTCCTCTGTCATCAGAAATGGATTGGTGGAGTAGTGATTTCCCTGACTGGCGTGAACTTCCCTTCTTCAACCTGAGATAGGCAAACCTTGTTTTTCATACTTTCCCTTGCTTTAGAGCTTTCACAGTTTTCAGTTAACTATCTCAAAATATAATAGATTCAGTTTTTCTAGACTAAACTAGATAATAGTATAATTAATTTTAAGTAAAACTAGATTCTTT